AAAAGTAATATTTAATTATAAAAGATCATTAAAGTCTTAAAATCTTGTTGTAGGTAAAAAAAGATGCAAAATCCGGGCAAAGCAAAGGATTTGGCTTTATTAGATTTGGAAGTTATGAATCGCAGTTGAGATGCCTCGCTCAACGTCATATGATAGATGGCAGATGGTGTGATGTCAAGGTTCCCAACAGTAAGGTAAGAATATAACTTATTTGCAGATTCTATGATTTTTTTCTGCTATTTTATATCGCTTTTTCTCGAATACGTAAGAACATCAATGTTAAATCAATGTGTGATGCATATTTAAATCAGGAGTGAATAAATCATTTTAAAGGCAATAGAAAACATATTTGAAGAATATTTTGCACTTTTGCCAGAAATCATAGCTATGTTGCAATATCTAATATTTCTTTCGTTCAATCATTCAGCAATGTGTATTGCTTTTATTTTATGATTGAAATCATTATTGTTGCTATTGGATAATAAAATTTGTATAATGCGAATTTAATATATTACGTCGGTCATTAATATATAGTTTGCTGTAGTATAACTATTGTAATAATAATATATATAGTATATTTATTATCTAAATAAATATTAAATGAAAATTCAGATTGTGCATGATATTGTTAAACAATCGATCTATTTTGTTTTTGAAATGATATATTTTCTCCCTCAATTGATACATATGACTTTAATCTGTACATATTTTCTAAAATAAGATAGCTCTGCAGCAATACTTATGAATACAACAAAAATAACTTTTTATGTGTTTAGTCCCAAATTATCTCAGTCTGTTGAAATAGAATGAATCATTTCTAAAGCATTGCTGGCTATATTATATTGCATGTAATATTGAATGAATATATAAAAACAAGTTAAATTTTTTATTTTCTGACGCCAGTTGTAACGAATGCTCTGTTTTTAAATTCTTCCTCGATTATTTAATGTTGGAAAACGGTTAAAAAGATATTTTTATTTAAAAAAATAATAGATACATCTTTCAGACAGAATATAAAGTAATATCTAATTTTTCAATTAGATAGATCTTTTTAAAGCTTTGCCTGCATTAGTTTGTAAATATCTTTACATTTGAGGGTATGTACAGATATAAGCTAAGCACACGTGTGATATTTTAAATAGATGATGGAATGTTGTGTGAGAGACAACAAATTAAAATTGATAAGCTTACGATCACGTGGATAATATCTTATCTTGTAGACTTCTCGTCTATCCCCATTTATCATAAAATGTAAATGTCAATGTTTTTTTACACTCTTTGAATATACTACATTTATATATAAATTTATATATATATACGGGGCGTATTCGCTGTGGTATAAATAGGTGAATGTGTGAGAGACGAGTGGTGAAATTATATAGGAAGAATGCAAATTGTCTGTATGTATGAATGTATGTTTATACGAGTGTGTTGTATGAGCGCGCCAAGGAGAGGGCAATGTTAATAACGTGTTTGCATGAATACGTAAATAGCATAGTATGTTTGTGTCTCTCTAAACGGTATGAGATGAGATCTCTTTAAAGAGGAATGATTAATAGTTTTGTCAGAGAGAAATGACTCGCGATAAAACATACCCAACTTATATCAAGCTCCAAATAAAGTCGTGTGTTATCTTTATCAAGATTTCTTAATAGTGATGAAACTCTTACAAGCTTCGACCTCAATAACGAAGAAAAAAAAACGTCATCGGACGATCTTATCTTTATGTTGAAAAATGAAAATATTAGATAAATTGCGTAATATTTTGAGTTACGTGAATGAGAATATCATGAGAAGGAATGTATCGCATATTGAGAGAGCGTAATCGTGTTAAAGAAAAGTAAATATTTTCACGTTTTCGAGCGCGTATCTTCTTGTGGATACATCAAATATTGTAATGGGTATGACTTGGTGTGCTGGAGTATGTAAATGCAAGATCTCGTATTCGCGTATGAAGCGGTCGTGATAAAGTTCCTTAGTCTTGCAAAATTGCGCGAGTTCCGGGAGATATTAGGAACAATATTTTTAATACTCGTGCGAGATCCGCGAAAATAATTACCTAATAGAGTCCAACAAGTATGAGTCACGTGGAAAGATTTTGTGAAGCGACGCTGAACGAGTGCATAATGAGAAGAACCTCGCGAATGAATAGCGCAAATCTTACGCGTGTATGTGTGTGTATGTGTGTGCGTGTCACGCGAGTTTCGCGAATAGATTCTGCACTGCGAATCATTTGACGATCGGCCGGAGATCGAAATAATTTCCGATTGCATAGTTTGACTATATTAACGCGACTACATTGAGCTGCGATGAGCGGAGCGAATGCGTATGTGTGCTTCAACATATCGATTCAAGTCTGTATGTGATTGTCGAGGGCTGGTGTAATCTGGTTGCAGAATATTGATGGCTTAATGATGGCACGTCATTATGATACGGGTAAGCACGGTAACGAGTGCTACCGACCTATACCGGTGCACACGCCGAGTAATCGCCGAGTGCCGGCGTCGAAGCCGTACGTAGCCAGCGTAAACTCGTCATCGTCATCGTCCGAGGCTGCTCCACCTCCGAGCGCGCCTCTCCCTCGATACGACTCGGAGTACGATTACAAAACCACTCACTATCCGTCGTATCCTCCGAATTATCCTTACGAAGATAACAAGTACAAGTACGAAGGCGGCGGTGGCGGTGGTGGTGGTGGTGGCCAGCAGCAAGCAGCGTATAACGCCTACAACGAGAAGCCAGGCTACGCCGTCTACGAGGAATCCCCCGCCTATGACTCGCGCGGCTATATGGCGCCTCCGCACGCGACTGCCGTCGCCGCGACACCCGCTGCCAATCCCGCGTATCCACCGTCCGACGCAGAATACGGACCGAGATATTACGGCGTCGAGGGACGCGCGGCCGCTTATCCGGTCGCCGACAATTGTCCGGAGCAGCAGTACTCCGACAAGGGAAGGTACAACAATTACGGATACGAGCAACGATGCTACTACGATCAAGCTGACGGCCGTTACGCGGCGCCCGAATGCAGATACGCCATGGAAGTGCGTTACGCGGACGCGAGGCATCCGGATAGCCGGCATCCACCGGTTGATCCAGGTCGAGAGGCGGACTGCAGATACATGGCGGACACTCGTGAGATGGATAGGCGCTACGTCGTCGACGGTAGGGAACACGTGGACGGCAGATATGCGATGGACAACCGCGAGATCGACAGCCGTTACGCTGCACCGGACAGCCGCGATGTTGCGGTCGATGGTAGATACGCCGATCCGACAAGATACCCGGCAAAGGAGAACTATTACGATCGTTATTACAAACACCGGCCGTCGAGGGATCATCACCACGTCGCGGACACGAGATACTAACTCGAGGAAACTCGTGACTATCGTAAATACAATCGATCATGTTTCAATGGGAATATTACATCAACGTATATACGCCATGAAAGTCGCGTCTGATTTTTTCTACCAGCATTCAATACATTCCTCAACGTATCGTACCACGTATCTATGAGCGCGCTGTTAAGGTTTTTATTATTGTTATATATATTTAATTTTTATGTTGTTTATAAAATCGCGAGAATCATAGAAAATGCGTAATTTTCATTTGAATGACTGTTGGAAGTGAGACTAGTATTTCCAGATATGTTATGTGTGAAACAGTTTATCAGAAATTGAGACTATTTCTGATAAAATTAATGAAATAATAGAACATTAATAATCGAGATATGATTACATCTCTTGTCTCTTTGTATGAAAAATATTGATTGTTCTTTTATCAAACATAGTAGTAAATGTAAAAGAGTGTTATATTAATAATTAAAATTGTCAGACAATTGTATTATTAATATAACACTTTGTTACTTGACGAAAATTCAATTATTTTTATCTGAATTTTAATCATTTACAAGGGGAAGTCGAAAAGTAAGCTTTCTAACTCATTTACTTTTTCAATAATTCATTTTTGGTGAAATATTTACATCTCTCAAATGTATATATATTTACATTATTTTTCAACACATTGTTATCTTCTCTGTTGATTTATCTAAACGGTAGATCCATGCATCAAAATCTTGTTAGTAGAGAATGGGATTCTGTTGATGCACTCATTTTTGCACTTCATGCTTGACATTATCTGATCGGAATCAGATTTTTACCTGTTTCCACAGTTGAAAAAGTACCTTTGTAGTGAGCGATTCCGATCAGATGATAATGTAAATACTTTACCAAAAATAAAGTATTAAAAAAGTAAATAAATTGAATCTTATGAAGGTTATACACAGAATTGAACCTAAATGAGAGAACCTTATTTTCTGATTTTTCCTCATAATATTAATGGAACATTAGTTTTATTATGAATTATCTCTTAGAAAATAACGAAATAGATGCGTGGTATGTCGTTTGTAAAATGCGTAGATACTTATTCTTTTATAATAGTTGTAAAGCAACTATAAAGATTTCTAACTTTACACTACTCGTCTATTTTGTGTATTATTGTCTATACAATATGTATATATTATACAAAGCTGATTATTTGAATTAGCATAAGAAAAAACATTTATAAATATAAACATATATTCCCATTAATTCATGGAGTTTGTCAAAAGTAACAAATATGTTGTTTTTAATGGTAGCAATAATTAGTCTGAAATAACTGTTCACATTTTATCAGACATGTGCTTATTATTCAAATTAAGACAGTGTAATGTAGCATGAGATTTTCTCTACATCGAAAGTATATAAAAAAGAAAAGAACATTGTACAGATTGATGCATGGATTTCAAGTGATCATATAGTGCTTAAGTGTTCGTTTTTTTATAACACGAAGATTTATATGTATAAATTGAGCCAGCCGATATATATATTATATCCTTTCTTAGAGTCGATAAATAAATATGTGTTAAGAATTTTTTTCTATAAAACTTGACGTTTAGTGCAGATTAGTTGCAATCGACGGTACGTTAGAGTCTTAAGTCGAAAGCGAGAAATTGCGTGTCTACGGAACTTGATTGTACGTAATACGCTGGTGATGATATACTTTCTGATGTAAACTCTATACTGTAATGTACTTATATTACTTATTTTGCCAGTCTCTTGACGAACGGTATATGTCTCGCAGCGATTCTACCGGCGCCGGTGATTGTGAGTAATGTGCACTGTACGCAAGTTTTACTTGGATAACTGTGAACCTGTCGTACATGATTGACTGATTGTGCGTTTGTGTGTAGGAGGGAATGATTCAGCAAGTACCCTGCAAGGTATTCGTCGGCCGCTGTACAGAAGACCTAACCGCTGATGATCTGCGAGACTATTTCTCCAAATTTGGCGAAGTCACGGACGTGTTCATCCCGAAACCCTTCCGCGCGTTCTCGTTTGTCACTTTCCTAGATCCCGAGGTCGCCCAGTCGCTGTGCGGCGAGGATCACATTATCAAGGGTGTGTCGGTACATGTGTCGAACGCCGCGCCCAAGTCCGAGGGCAATAATAAGAACTTCAATAATCAAGTGAATTCAAACATGAGGGGTGGCAGGGGCGCGCCGGGACCCGTTGATAATAACGTGCAAGGCAATTATCAGGGTAATCGTTACATGGGTCATTCGGGCAACAATATGGGCCCAAACGGCTGGAACAATCCGGGCAATCGTGGCAATCTCGACATGCCGAATTTGCAGGCTCTGGGTATCACAGGGCAGAACAATGGCGGCGGCGGAGGTGGCGGAATGTCGAATCCGTTGGCTATGGGCGGGCTGAATCTGTCCGCGTTGCCGGTCAATCCGGCATTGGTGGCCGCCGCCTTGAACCAGGCGTCCTGGGGGCTGATCGGCAACCTGCAGAACCAGGGAAACGATCAGGGTTATTCGAATCAGCCGGGTCCGCCGGGTCAGCCGCCTTCCGGTAATAACAGCATCGGTAACAGCGGTAATTCCGGCTTCCTCAGCTGGATGAATCAAGGCGGCGGTGACGGCAATACCGGCAACCCCGGCACCGGCGGCCCCGGGCCGAATAACCCGAACGCATCCCAGGGCGCCTGGCAGAATCATCCGGGCCAGCGCGATCAAAAATCGAATACCTTTCTCAAATACGAGTAAATTCAGCCGGGGCCGTGGGTCTACTCGTAAAACCAAACGGATCCTCTATCCACGGGTCCCGACGCAAGAACCTTGACAAATCTGATGAAGGCAAATGAGGGGCGGGTCATCGGGTCGAGAGTACAAAAAACGCGCATCGACCCCGTCAACAGGATAAAGAGCCAGAGCCTATAGTACGTTGACATTTTTTCTAATGTTTTGCACTAATCTGCCACTACTGCGTGTATTATAATATTTCGAGACTCTCCCCACTCTCTTACTGGTTTGACGAATTAGCACAATTCCAATTCGTTGAAAGAGTTTAGGCTTACGTGTAATGCGTGGATAGCTCTGATCATCATGCGTGCTTTTGTGTGATCTCTCTGGTGTGAAGCGTACGATCTAACGGCTAATGGGAAAATCGATATGTATGGTGTTAATGTATGTGAACGATATAGCGTTGCAAGAGAATGTAATTATATAAAACGTACATGAATGTGCTTTTAATGTACCGTTTGGTATATGAATGGTTTACGTATTAAGAGTATCTAGGAGACCTTTGAGTCCGAAGGAGACTTGCGCTATTTTTGCATTTAATTATTACAATAAAAAACACAGTATAATATATATATAGAAAAATATATATACTTACATATAAAATAAATTACTATTGCTCACTATCGTATAGAAATCACAAATTGGTAACTAGAGGACTACATTTGCATTATTTCTCCGTTCTCGTAATTAAACATATAGCATTCGAAATATCGAGCAATTATTAAATTATCAGAAATTTGAAAATAGATCAAGTGTTCCTTCGTCACACAAATCTCTTCAATATATAAAGAAGATTTTAGAAGTGTAAATACTTTCTAAGAGATAAATTAAATTTGGGATTTAATCGCATTTTTGATTTAATTGTTAGCCATAGTTAACTAAGTTTTTTTTCCCCCATTATATATACAGTTGCGACGCAACTAAAGAGGAGACTGAAAAATGATCAGCAAAATCAGTTAATCATGGCTATCGATGTATCAAGCGCGATATGGCAATAGACGCGAAATCAATTAACTGATTTATCATGTTGAATTGAGAGCCGGATTGCTGGACGTTGCTATTTGTAAAAAGCGTTTATTTGTTATTATATAATGAGATATATCAATCGCGCCATCGCATTTTAACAATGTTAGAAGCCACACAAGATGTTTCTTTTGAACAAAGATTTCTTGACCAATTTATAAAATCAGTTTGACCTTCATATATTCATATCGTATATATTCCGCGGGTCTTTTAACTCGGGGAACGTAATGTAAATGTAAATTTCTTGTTACCTGCAAAAACAATTTTCGTTTGAAACGGAATACTTTATTCGAAATATTGCACACAGACACACACATACAGTTGTGTGTTTCTGAAATATTTTTATTTTTAGTTGTAAGAGCTTCTAGCAAAACTTTTTTTCGACGCATAATATTTTCTTATCTCACAATTTTCTCTTCATAACATACTAGCCTAGCAAACCACTCTTACCACATACAATTCTTTGAAGGTGTCTATTTTCAAAACTAATGCTGAATAAACGATATTTTAATAACTCAAACGACGGTTACATTGAATATCATAAAATGGACTGATATAACAAGAAACATTTTGTAATACAAAAAAAAAAGATACATTTTTAATGTCTAAAAAGATAATCAACATTGAGATTAAAGTTCAATGATTATTTCTTTAGACATTATTAACGTATTAAAAATTTTCTTTGATTGTGGTGCAAAGTTACCTCCGTTGGCGCAATCTTATTATATCTTACAGTAGTTTCTTTCCTATTTTGCGGAAGGTTGCCAAAACATTGATAAGATTCTTTGACAGAGCATATAAAGCGATCAGTATGACTGCTTGAAAGCGTATGAATGTGTTTGAATAACTCGCAAGACACCTAGAGATTGATCGCAGCTATCCGTATTGTAAATTATTATACCGATTTTTGAACTTTTGTTTCAAATATCTTAAATATAACACATAAGTAGTCTATTATGTAAGAATTTTACACTGATGTGTGCAAGTGTGTCAAAATTATTGATTGGTTGCGCGTGAAAGAAGGCATTTGAATTGATCAAATTTTTCTATCTTAATTGAACGAGTTCTCAAGGAAATCACAGAAAACGATTTAGATGTCTTTAACGTATGTGTATAATGTGCTGCAAGTTTTGAGTGAATATCTTTGATAGTGAAGACTTTCAAACTGTTTTTCCTATGATAATAAAAATAATAAAAGAAATAGCTTTACACACAGGTTGAGAATATTTATTTTTAAAAAAAAAAAAACGAAAGAAAGAAAAAGAAAGAGACAAGTTAGCAACACACGATGAGCAAGAATGCAACTCACATCTCACAATTATAGTCAATAACTTTAACATATGTCGTAATTAAACTTAAAAACCGCATTCATCACCGCGTTATCACTGTGTACGCTACCATTAAAAGAATAATTTAGATTGAGACTCTCTCAGAGAGAATACACTAATTATCTAATTATATTAATTGAAAGAATAAAATAATCCTTGTAAGAGGTGTATGTGCTGTTGTGCTTTTCATTTATCGTACAGTGATTTCTCATAAACTTCCTATACTCAACGCAAGATATTACTTAATAATACAATTTTCTAAGGATAATACTCTCTCGCACTCTTTCTCTCTCATTATAGTGTGAGTTCTCGTCTATGCGTGTTTAGAAAATTTCTAACTTTGAAAACGTCGATTGGATTGTTCGACGCACGTGTATGTGTGTATGACGGTCGAATGTATTTGTTAACGGTCGTCTCAGAACTACAGGCGTGACAGAGTTTTTACTACTAGCAAAAGTGATGATATAACCGTTTGTTTAATGAACGCGTGTACTTGACAGCGCGAGATGAAGCAATGAGATGATTGAGTAATAATATATAAAGCGTGCGCGGAAAATTATATACGGTGCAAGTCTTAGATGAGAATGAGCAAAAAAAGTCGTCCAATGTGTGTCTGAAATATACTTAGAGACTGCACGAGAAGAGATTGTTTATATACGTAGTATATGTAAAAAGAAAAAAGTTAAATCAGATTCCGGTTAAAAGATGGACGGTATGGATTTCATTGATCGCGCATTCTTACGTCTGTAAATTGTTAAATCGATCTACACAGAAAACTGTAGTTTAAGACAACTTTTAACAGACACTAGAACCGTATCTAGCTTGGTGCTGAATTGGCACGAATGTTCGCCTTTCAATTTTTTAATGTCTGGAAATATTTTCAGGGAATATGAACAGAGTTCCTTATGATACAAAAAGTAAAATAAAGTGACTCTTATACAAGAAGTAAGATAATATCGTTGATCGTACGATGGACAATAGTTAATTGATCAGTTCGAACATTCGTGCGTGAATCGTGATTATGGATCTACGTGATCTGACAATCAAATTCGTAGACACTTTTTCTTTTGTTATTGTGCAAAATACGCAGTCATTCTTTTATCTCTCCGTTATATTCTGTACAAGTTTTGTTCCATAGCGTAGTGTGAATAATATGCTCAGATCATTGTTTAGAAAGGAGCAGAGAATCAACATTATAAATATTCATATTTAATTTGGAAAAAGTGAAGAAAAAATTATGTAAATGTGTTGTAAGATAAAATTCTATATATATATATATATATACCACTCTTTAAAAGAATAATATATAAAATTCATTTAAACTTTAATTCGTGATTATGGATCTACGTGATCTGACAATCAAATTCGTAGACACTTTTTCTTTTGTTATTGTGCAAAATACGCAGTCATTCTTTTATCTCTCCGTTATATTCTGTACAAGTTTTGTTCCATAGCGTAGTGTGAATAATATGCTCAGATCATTGTTTAGAAAGGAGCAGAGAATCAACATTATAAATATTCATATTTAATTTGGAAAAAGTGAAGAAAAAATTATGTAAATGTGTTGTAAGATAAAATTCTATATATATATATACCACTCTTTAAAAGAATAATATATAAAATTCATTTAAACTTTAATACATTTCATTACCATTAAACATAAAATGAGCAGTATTAGAGTTTAAATAAATTTTGCCTATGACTCTAATTGTCAGATCATGTATTTTTTTCAAATCGTTTAAGATAGCGATGCCTATATACGATGTTGGCATCTTCGTGACCCCTCAATTAGTCTCGAGAGGTTTCGCGCGCGATGTGAGTACTCGATGCTCAAAGGATGCCTTGCAAAACGATTTGGAAGTGATCTACGAAGCATGTAAATACGGATTGATATAAAGCAATTTTAATATCGCTCAGAAAATGTAACGAATTTTATTGTAGAGTTAGTTGCGCTCTGTAAATCGCTCGGTATTGTTGTGTCTCGAGAGAGGGGGAGAGAGAGGAAAAACTATGCATGAACAAGTCCGAGACGTGTGTCGTGTGAGAATGTTGATTTTAATCCGTCAATCTCTCGGCTGTTGGGCGGGGGGAGGGGAGGAGGGGAAAATTTGGAGTCTCGTCAAGAAAGGACACGGTGAGAAATTGCGAATCCGACAGTCTTTTACATTTTTAAGATACAAATAAGCTGAGTAAGAATTGATGTCGAGGATTTTTTTTATGTGTGTGCGAGGACGATCTCATGACTTGTGCGTATCGAAATTCATTGAAAAAAAAAAAAAAGTGTCGAAATCCTTTTGTCCACGACGAGAATTACCATGTGTCGCGCGAAACTTTGTAGGTGTGAATATTAATCCGACGATCGCAAACGGCATTCGTATGTATATGTTTCCCAATTCGTACCGACAATTTTACATAAAATTGTAAAATGTTTCGACAAGTTTGCCGTGATGCGAAAATACTCAATGCTCTCCGTAACGTTCTCCATTGATTGTAGTGTATGTTAAACTATGCCGAGAATAAAAAACCCAAGCACCGTGGGTTATCACAGATTCCTTCGCGTGCCTTTAAATGCGAATCAGCGACGTAATCACATATCTGTCGACAATCCCACAATTTGGATATACGGTGTTATCTCTTGCGAAATTTGGACTTGATCTTCGTTTATGCATTAATCGCGGTTCCTGTAATCCGATGAAAATACATGCGAATTAAGCTTCAAAGATGAAAACAAATGATAAAATATAATTCGTCATTTTAATTTAAAGTAAGTTTTACTTTAACAGAGAAGATTCGAAATTTACATTAGTTAAGTAATAAGATCTTCTTTATTATATTCTTTTCGTATTTATTTTGGGACCGTTAATAGTTCCAATTATCGCATCTATAACAAAACAAGCGATTTAAAGCAATATATACAAACATGAACAAATTTTCAATTTATCCTATTACCATCTTAACGCGAAATTATTAATATACAAAGCTATTCTCGATATTATATTTATTATATCTGCATGTACAAAGTTTTAATTTATCTTTACGAATTATCAACTTTGTTGAGAAACAGAGTTGCGCGTTTCGTTAAAAGCAACCGTCGCGATAATGTGAGATAACAGTCTTGTGGCGATGTTTATAACTGTAGAACTGTAAAAGAGAGCGAGTGGAAGAGTTTGAAAAGTAATGTAACAGTGCACAGCCAGCCTTTCGATTGATGACTGAATGAAGACGATGACTGAAGTAATCGTAAGGCTATGGAAACGTCCGCAGATCCTCGAAGCAACAGGTGATTACGATCTGACATTTATTTCTCCTTCATAACGTCTCACACCATCAAGTAGATCCATCATTCGTCATCGATACTCCGGCTTCCCGGCAAATTTACGAAAAATTTGTTTTTGCATATCTTGCCGTCATCTTTATTTTTTGTTTCACTACTTTTTT